TATAAAAGTAATTAATTACTATATAGTTCAGTTAGTTACTGCTGAGTCTGGTATATTCTACATGTGAACAGTAGATATGCATGAAGAAAATAACAGCGAAGAAGAGCACACGAAGATGTGAGTAATTTAGGACGAATCAAGGCTAAAGCGTTTTCGATAAAAAATCCGATGTATTTTTAATTCAAATTTCCGTTTACAAAGTTAACCGTTCTCTTTTAAATTATCCTTCTGTGTTATATTTATCTTATTTCTTGACTAATTTTGCTTGTCGTCTTAGGCTGTGATGATCAAAATAGAGAACACCTTTCGGGTAGATGCTAGGCCAACTTTGCCTTTCTCTCATATTGTTCATTAAAGAAATAGAATCCATCGAATCTATTTCCTGAATTTCTTTAGAATCCGTGACATTCATTTCTGTTACCGATATTAATTCATCCTTTGGATGTATACTGTTGAAACAATCTTCTTCTTATCATTAGAAATTATTAAAATTGTCCTCACAAAATGGGACTTTAACATGGTTAAATATTTAACTTTGTGATATGAAAATGTTTTAATATTGTCACACGTATAAACTGATTAACAGTAATTCATTGTAAAATCTTTACAAGATCTTAGATATTGTGTTTGGTAAAACAATGCCTTTGTGGAGTCCGCCGGTAAAGTCGGCTGCATGGAACCGAGCAGAATTTATTGTTGCTGGTATATTACCCGTAAGTTTAGTTGTATTTGGCACCATTAGTAATCTTCTTTCGGTGACAATCCTAGCCACTAAAGAAAGTCGTAAAAGTTCAACAAACATTTATTTGATATTTCTGTGTATTGTGGATACACTCTCATTATATCAGTGGAATTTAGATTATGCTGTAGCTGAATTTACTGGCCTGCAAATTAGTCAGCGTTCATTATTTTTATGTAAATCAATTGAATTTCTTGGCAATTATACTTTTCATGCATCAGCATCTTTATTAACAATGGTTTCAGTTGATCGAGCTCTACTATTATGGTCACTTCAATATAAACGCAAAATAGCAAAACCCGAGATAGCATTAATTATTTGCATTTTTATTTTTGTAATTTTATTCATATTGAATGGGTATTTATTGGGCTTAGGCTATGAAAGGACCGTATCGAATGGCACACCTACTATCCTACAGTGCTATCAAAGTCAAGATGTAGGAATAGCTTCATTTTACAGTATTGTTTGGCCCTATGTTAATCTTTGTGTAATGTATATTATCCCGTTTAGCGTAACGATTCTATGCACAGTATTAATAGTGATCAAACTGGCAAATGCCCCGCAAATTCATCAGTCAAGTTTTAGACGAAATAAAAGAATATCGTTAATGTTGATTGCAATGTGTACCACCTACTTGATATTAACTTTGCCGAATCGACTATGTTTTACACTGTTGTATTCGCAATTATTGAACCGAGATTATGCAAACACTGTTCTAGCATTAACAAATTTATTAATGTATGCAAGAAATTCGACGAATATATGTTTCTTCTGGGTTAGCGTTGCTGGATTTAGTGAGAAAATTTTGAAAATTGTCAGTTGCAATCGGTACGTGTCAAATCGTATCGAGCCTACCATGACAAGGACGACTCATCGAAAACACAACAGGGCACATAATACTGAATTAAACATAATTCAAGCATAAACAAATGATTTTTATGCAAAAAACGGGTATCGTAGGCTAATTGGTGTCTCAGTATTTCATTAATATCTCGCTCAATTTTTGGTTGGATTTGAAAACTGGAATTTGTTCTCTTATTACTCGTTATTTGTTGTCTTATATACGTAGATAGAAGTTATTTTTCTTGAACAGAACACATTTTTATTTAAATAGGAAGACAGATGGTATGGAAACTAATTAATTCCTTCTGTTTTA